TTTCAATCTAAATGTGGTTTCTATATCATCCCCCTTCTTGGCCCCATCTAATTGCTTGGACATCTAGTCACTGGAAGAGGAGGAATCTTTCCTCATTGGCTTGCCCTCTCTGCCCTAATTTACAAATTTTGGTTATAGAGGAATATAAAATTTTACCATAATCGAGCCATCTCCGCTTGTGGATTGCTTCATTGAACCCTTTTTATAGTTAAAGAAAGGTTGCATTATGTGCCAATTTTGATTCTACTTTGTAGGTGCATAAAATTCTAGACCGAAAGCGACAGTTCAATCAAAAGAATTTTATACTCAAACACTCATTGAAGAAATAAATAATCAGTGAACAAAAAGAGAAAAAAAGCAAGATCAAGGAAGAACAAGGGTTTATGGTGCTGAGAATGGTCTGTCTTTTATTTGGGTCTCACCCTCATATTTAAATGTGTACAATGAAATCATTTTGGAACATATATTGGGCTTTCCATATTTGGAGCTTAATCAGTTCCTGATTCCATGCAATTTGTTGGCGTCCATTACTCTCCAGCCGTGTTGGTTAAGGCTTCAAGTCAGGCTTCCCGGACTGGGTATTGCTCATCGGGTTAGGTTGGTACTTGAAGCTTTCCTTCGAGCTATTCAATTGTTTAGTGGTCTTCTTTCTATGCCTTAGTTTATTGGGCTGACAACCTTATTTGATTTGAGTATACATGAAATTTTGTGATTTGTGGGGAACTTTCCCTCCACATGCTTCTTTTGCTCGCCTTGCTCGAGAGCTAGATGATCCTACCATTCATTCCCCACTTAGACTGTAACACCCCCACATTTTCCACGCATAAGTTGATCAGGCTTATACACGAAAAACGAGGGATATCAAAAACAATTGGCAATATACAAGCATGGAATACAAAATGATGATAATAAAAGAATTTAGACAGGAAAGGAATACTAAATAATACAACATCCATCCATCCTTTATTTAATACAGTACTTCATTACAACTTGGAAATCCTATGTCAAGGATCCCTAAATATAACCCTGAGAGTTCAACGTCAAAAGTAAATAAAAACTGAAACTGAAGTATTACATAAAACTTCTACCCTGCACTGGATCGTAAGAGTAGATGAGTTCGGATGGTGGTCCCACACTGCTAACCTCAACCTTGAAACGGATACTGACCGTATCCTGAAATAACAACAATGGTGGGTCAACCCCACGAGCAAGTCCTCTCTACTATGACCCAAATCAGAGAATCAAATAAATTAATCATTATGAATCGGATGAGTACTATATCTGTATACATCCTACGGGAACTATCCGATGTATAACATGACCTCAACCAGAATAGACGGTGATCACTTAGACTCACACTAGGTAGTTAAGTGTCGCCTTTCCCTACCCGGGAAATCAGCTATTATACATGGTGCACGGTACTGACAACGCAGACTATAACGAACTACACAGTGATAACACCTCGCAAAGTACTGATGAATATACTGAGCATATAAATTAGGCAACACATGCCAACAATATTAATAAATATACCGAGTATGTCAATTAGGCAACACATGCCAATAATATTAAACCACACACCCCGACAGCCACACATCTGTCTATCGCAACGAATTCATAAGGTATAAATGAGTCTAAACTTATTAGCCAGCTCATATGGTTCTATATGGCAACACATCCATATAATATAAATGCGACATAATTAAACAGTCCATTTATTTCCTAAAATGCACACAGCATAATGATCATGGTTTATATATCAATTAACAGTATAAACATCCCATAAGATATCATGGATAATTTATCTGACTACAACCATGGCCTTATTTAATTTATCAGTAATGGTTGTTACCATTTAATAAGTTGTTAAATAAATCACATTAGTATCTGTACTGTGAACAAGCCAATAAATGCTTAGAAAAGATTAATCGGCCATAAGAATAAGTAACGGGTATTAAAATAATAATTTCGTGGCCCGTTAAACCCGTAAATACCAACTCAGTACCTAAAAATCCAAGTTTAAGGTTCTGGAATTTACAAAACAGGCCCTAGGGGTATTCTGGTAATTTCCAGTAGCTGTAGAGACCCCACACGCGCCCTCACGCGCCTCCCAGAGCCTCCCCACGCGCAGCCCAACCTTCCCCACTCTCCCACGCGCCTCCACGCGCGGCTGGCATCAGCCACGCGCGCGCACGCGCTCCCACGCGCGTCTGGAGAGTTCCACGCGCGCGCACGCGCTCCCACGCGCGCGTTAATGGCTTCCTGCTGACGTGGTGTCCTCCGGTTGGTTGGCTGCATCACCTTTCCTACATGCGCGCCACACCGGATCAATCCACCTATGCTCCTTTCATCCTACGGTTGATGGCTAGCGCGCACCATCATATGGTGTGCCGCGCTACACCGAATCAATCTAAGGATTCACAACCCATCTAACGGCTGCTGATCCATGCGCATGCTTGTTGCAATACACCGCAACACACCAGATAACTCCGGTCACCTTCCTCACTGCCGGTGGCCGGAAAACTCGCCGGAGTCTCGCCGGAATTTACAGAAAATGCCCGAAAAATTCCTAAAAATTCTAAAAAAATTCCTAATGCCTTAAGGAAATATTTTTAGCTATTTTGAACATCCTAGGATAATAACTAATTATATACTATCCTAAATAATTAAAATTTCACAAATTTAATAAACTAAAAGTCCTAATTTATTAAACTCCTTGCATGGTCTCTATGCTCTAAAATAATATCAATAAACTAAACAATTAATTTATTAATTCAAAGGGGAAAAATAGATAATAACTTGCCTTTTTGGATTTAAAATAAATCCGCCGGTTGCGCGTAGTCGGGTAAATTCCCTACACCGGTCCAAGCTCCTTTCTTTCTCTCTATTCCTTTCCACACTTTTACAATGGCTCACTAGAATTTTGCTCTTCTACTTACGTGAGTTTCTTTCAAATTGTAACTAACTAACTAATATATACTAATTTATATAATATATATAATACAAATATCTAACTTAAACATTAACTTTCAACATTCCCACCTATATGGCTTTAAGACAATGCAATCTTAATCAAGATATTTGATCCACCATTCTACCATAGTAAATGAAATTCTATCCTACTATTTAATTTTCCCTCATTACATTGATTTAATACTATTATTATTATTATAACTATTATTATTATTAATAAACTTTTATAATTATTATTATTATATTATTATTATTATTATATTATTAAACTATTATTATTATTATTATTTTTATTATTACATAAGAATACATTATATCATTATAATACTTTATAACACAAATATAATATTTTAATTAACTAATAATGATTAATATAAGCATAACCAATAAATAAAATTAATTATAATAATACATGCACAATTATAGGTAAGGAATCCACACATAATTGAATTTAAATAAACTAAACTCTTTAATTAATTACAGGGTATTACATAGACTGTCCGACTAAAGCAGGTGATTGAGTTTGCTCCATTTATGTTCTTCCACCGAATTTGTGCTTCAAACTCTATTTATTATATTCTAAAATAGGAATATTTGCATTTGTATAGTTCTTTTATATTTAGTATTAATTTTATAGCACTAGGGAAAAACAAAATTCTAACATAACTAAATTTCAATTTAATGACATACTCTCTTCGTCCCAATTTAAGTGTCCCTTATGGGAAGTAGTATTTTTTAAGGGGACATGTGGGACATGTATTATCTCCTGAAAAATTATTAATTTGCTTTTTAAAATTTTGAATATTTAAGTTTGAAATTTTAAACTCAAATGACATGTATGGAAATATGTAAAATATATTATTTGAAAAGGAAAAGTAGACTATTATTTTGGAAGAGGCAACAAAAAAAAAGCATGATACTTATTTTGGGACAGAGGAAATATATTATTCTTTGTTCCATTACGTGCATAGTTAGTGTACTTTATTTAGTCTCTAAAAAAAAAATATTTTATCAAAAGTAATAATAATGCCAAAGGGGCAATCAATGCATATTGAAAAATGCTTTATAGACGGCTTTTTCAAGCTTAGCTAAAGTTCGACAATTAACAATTTTTCGATAATGTTATAGCAAAATAAGTTTCATAAAAGTCACAATTATAACAAAAGCCAAACAAACATTTTTTACATACAATAACACCAAACTTAGCTAACCCCTTGACAATCAATACTTTTTCAATAGCACAATAGGAAAATGGGTTACAGTAAAAGCAAGCAACTATGATAACAGACACTAAACAAGCATTCAGAATTGACTAGTAAGGATTTAAATATTGTCATATAAAAAATATTTAACATACAACACTATAAAACTTAGCTAATTTCTCTACAATCATTACATTTTTTTATAATGCAATAGGAAAATGAGTTCCAATAAAAGTTACAATTATAGACCATTCTTTGTATTTAGAAACTGTTTCGTAAATAATTTGGATGAAATTTGATTGAGTATTCTTTTTTATTTCTTTCTTTTCCCTCTTAAAGTCCTCACAATTTTTAAAGGGCATTCGAAACGTTATTTAAGGGGATCGTTCCTTGCTCATGTTCCTCTCTTTTTCGTAGTATTCTCAAAATAAATACAAGGTAAAATCTTATTTTCTCAAAAAAAAAAAATTTAACAGCTTCTTTTATCTTTTACTACTTTCCTTTTCATCGGACCCCCTAAACTCAATTGCAGTGTTAAAGGTGATATAATTTCACCTTTGAAGAGATAAAGCATTATCATCCATCTAAAAGACTAAAATACTGATGCCAATGACAGGGACAAGTGGTAGCCAAGAATTTTAATTTTTAACCCTTCATCCAAACAGAGTTTATACAATACAATACAAAACCAAGTTAGGTTTGACCTAACCTGGCAAACCAAACTGAAATTCCCAACAAAAGCAGAGGGCAAGAATGTAATTTGGACTGCAAGAAGACACATTCCTTTTTCACTCACTCCCTCACTGTTTCTGCTTCGTGAGGGAGGATCAAAGCTGCCCCCACTGTTTTTCATGGTAAAATACTAAAACAAACACTTTCTCTCTCTACCCTTCATTTTACCTTTCCCTCGTCAGATTACCAAACCTGATTACTTGGGAAAAACAAAAGAGAGAGAGAGAGTGACAGAGGGATGAAGAAAGGGTCTTCTTTGTGGTTGATAAGCTTTGTACAGTTGCTAAAGAGGATAAAAATTAAAGAAGCTGGGTTAGGGAAACACTCTTAGTGTCTCAGAGGTAGAGAGAGAGAGAGAGAGAGAAGGGTTTAATTGTGGAAGTGAAAGAGAAAAAAAGGAGGAGAGAGAGAGAGAGATGGTGGGCTCAGGATCATCAGATAGGAGCAAAGAAGCTGTTGGGATGATGGCCCTTCATGAGGCACTCAGAAGCGTCTGTCTCAACACAGATTGGACTTACTCAGTCTTCTGGACAATCCGTCCCAGACCGTATGTCCTCTCTCTCTCTCTTCAAACCCACATAATACAAACCTCATATTCTTTGATTTTTAATGTTTTCTCAAGTGGGTCTCTGTCATTATTGCAGGAGAGTTAGAGGTGGTAATGGTTGCAAAGTTGGAGACGACAATGGTAGCTTGTGAGTATATACTTCTTCTTTTGTTCAATTTTATTGCAGAAACAGAGGAAAAACCGGGAAAATATAGACAAAAACAGAGAAATGAGAGATGAATTTCAGTAATTACTGAATTTGTGATTTAAAATGAGAGATGGGTATTGTTTGTTTTGTGATTTGGGTTTTGTTTCTCTGACTAATTTCTCTAATTGGGGTTATTCGTACTTGTGTCTGTGCAGGATGTTGATGTGGGAAGATGGGTTTTGCAGAGGAAGAGTTGCAGAATGCTTGGAAGAGATTGATGGGGAGGATCCTGTCAGAAAAGCATTCAGCAAAATGTCCATTCAGTTGTATAATTATGGAGAAGGGTGGGTACTGGGTAGGTGTTTTTATTTTAGATTGTCACCCCTCTATCTCTCTCTCTCTCACACACACACACACACGCACATCCTCCCCACCACTTCTCTATCTTGTTGGGTGAAAATATTTAATGGGTTCCTAATTGAACATAAAAACAAAAGAAAATCTATGTATTTGTTGTGATTGGGTATATTGGTTTGAGCAGGTTGATGGGAAAGGTTGCTTCAGATAAGTGTCATAAATGGGTATTCAAGGAGCCTTCAGAGTGTGAACCAAACATCTCCAACTACTGGCAGAGTTCTTTTGATGCTGTATGTATTTTTTTTTTTTAAAAAAAAAAGAAAAAACTCAACACAACCCACCTTCTCCTTTTTTTTTTTTTGTAAAAAAAAAAAAAAAAAGCAAATCATAATATGTGATAACTTAATATTCTAGCATTACTATCAATCATATGAGTTTGTAAGCATGAATAGTTATACCATTTTGTTGGGTGGTAATAATTGCAGCTACCCCCTGAATGGACTGATCAGTTTGACTCGGGCATTCAGGTTAGTATCAAAAGTTATAAGTAGTGCTATTTGTCTAATGTTTTATTAGTAGCTGTCTTCAAACTTAGTTTGCGTCTTTTTTTGTTCAATCTTTTACCAGACTATAGCTGTAATTCAAGCTGGCCATGGACTTCTACAACTGGGATCCTGCAAGATTGTGAGTTTCAATTCCTATTTTATTTTAATATTTCTGTCATGTGGTCTCTGTAGCAATGTTCAAAAACTCAGACTGGACTCCGAATGTCTTAGAGTTGGGTTAATGCCAGGATTTAATCTAATTAAAATTGAAGACTTACAAGGTCTATTATGCATTTGGGTAGATAGTATGAGACATCATCAAATGGCAAACAGCAAGTACCAAATGCTAAATGGGAGATCTTGTGGCTCATGTTCAATTTTGAGTCAACTCAATTTGATCCGGTACTTGTTTCGACTGTAGCAAGTCAACCGAGTTGGAACTACAGCAAGGATAGATTCAGGTTTTTCATGGAGATAGATATTATTTGACTGATGTAAGTTAACGAATCTGGATCCCCTCCTCCACACATCCTGTGCCGCGTCCTTTATTGCTAGTGCAATGCGCTACCTTGTGGTGCAACAGTCTCGACGCATTACTTATTAAGAAGAAGAAAAAAAAAAATGCCTCATGACTAAATGCAACATGAAATAATGATGTAATATATAGTTGTTGTAAAGTTGTTGCATAAGCAATGTAAAGACATATGACCCTGCACAGGATGAAACAGCACACAGGAGAGGATCCAAGTTCTTAAGTTAACTTCTCTAATGGACCAAGTCACTGAGTTCTTGAACAATGCTCTTTACTTGATAATTTTTATACTCAAGATAGTAGAACACACACACGGAAACACAGAATAATGATTATGACTGATGAGCCATTAAATTTTGTGAATACTTTGATCTCATTGAGAGGTAATATTTGTGTCCTCAGATACCTGAAGACCTCCATTTTGTGCTGAGAATGAGACACACCTTTGAGTCTCTTGGCTACCAATCTGGTTTCTATCTGTCCCAGCTATTTTCTTCAAACAGGAACACTTCCCCTTCTTCCTCAGTTCCCTCTAAGCAAAACCCCATTCTGACCCGCCCTCCACCTCCCCTCTTCAATTGGGGCCCGAGGCCACTTCCATCCGCAACCTCAATGCTTGCATCTCCCACTTTTCAAAACTCCGCTAGACTCGGATTTCCACAGACCAAAGATGAAACCCATATGTTCATCCTCCCTCATTCATCTGAAACCCGAATGGAAGATATGATGGGAGATCATGAAACTGACATCAAATGGCCGAGTGGGTTGACTTTCTTCAATGCTCTCACCGGACGAAGCGATGATGCCAAGCTTTTGTTTACTCCAGAGGGATTAGGGAACAAGCAGGACCAAAATCACCAGCAACTCATCCTCGAAGGGAAGAATCCGAATTCAAGTTCAGATGCTTCAAATATGCACAACAGTGGTGCTGCAAATCCCAACGAGTTTTTGAGCTTGGATAGCCACCCAGAGAGCGCCCGGAAGGTGGAAAACAAGTTTAAGAGGAGCTTTACCTTGCCTGCAAGAATGGCTTCATCATCTTCTTCTACTTCACTCGATCACCATTCACATAATCCTGTGGAGTACAGAAATTCGGAAGGAGGAATGTACACCGATGTCATGGAGACTTTCTTAGAGTAATTTAGGAAGCTTGTACTTCTGGAGTCGAGGATGAAAGAGTGAGAAGTTGTATCTAGGAAAAGCTTTTGCTCTCTTTGGCGGCTCAGTCGATGGTTCCTTTGTTTTGATGCTAATATCATATGTTTCTTTGATTTATTTACTGAACTCTTTTCACCATTTCTTGTAGTTGTGCAAACATGAAAATTTTCCTCGAAATATAATCTCTAATGACTGCTTAAACTGAAGAATATATTGCTATTCGAGTTTGGTTGATTAGATTCCAATTTCAACCAACTCTACAAGTTTGGATTGCTTAGTGAAAGCTTGGTTATGACAAGTTGAGATGAAATTATTTTAAAAATTTTGTTTTCATTTGTAACTTGACATTCTCAGTGGCACTGTATGGCATCACAATGTTTAACGGTCCGGCCAACATGTATTAGAGTATGCCATATAGGTAAGTGGAAGGTACTCCAATTTCCAGAACAAAACAAAATTCCTACTGAATATTGAATACTAATGTTATGCCATCGATAAATTTCTTCCAACTCTAAATTTCTTCCAACTCTAAATTCAAGCCACCGATTTACACAACATACATGTAATTACAACCGTTGTGTAAATGAAAAGAATTTACGCCTACCCTTTTGAGATTCCAAGTCATCTCTGAAACTGAAAATATCACCATGGCTAGTCAAGCAACTAATTCACTGCATCTTCTCTCCCCTCTTGTTTTCTGGCTAACTTTTCTAAGAGCAAGGGAAGGAAAATATGTTTAGGGCTTGTCTCAACTTGTAATTATGTGTAAAGGGTTTGCATAATTTCAATCAAAATCCCCATAAAGATGGATAGATTGACACTTGGTCATAATTCTAGTATAATCATTAGAGAAAACCAGACACCCCTCAATAATTTCACAACAAAATGTATGCTGTTTACAAGCCTCGAACTAAATACGCTCTCAAAATATAATTTTGAGTTTCTTTTATAACATATCAAAATCAAATGCTTTTTCATCAGTTAAGACCAAAATCCAAATCATTTTATGCTTCTAAAATCAATAATTGGACTTCAAAAGCATACCAAATGATTTTGAAAAAAGAAAATCTGCACATCCATCCACAAATCATTCCAACACTATATTCCCTTGCAGCACATCATCTCTCCTGGACGGCTTCATTGCATGACATTCTTTGCAAGCTGACACAAATGACCGGAAAAATCTACTGCCAAACCCCGAGCCTGATCTGGTTTTACTTTTTTCTTGAACATTCTTCACTGCCCTCAATTCTTCTTGCGACACAATTCCAGGTTTTTTGCTTCGTGAGACCTGTCGATTCAAACCCGGTGATGGTGTAATGAATTGCCACCTTTGAGAAGAACCATACTGAGGAGCCAAAGCTGCAGGCTTATTTGCTTGGTATGTTCTGCTAATTCCAGCTTTGGCCTGCTGCAGACTCAATGGTACTAACTTTCTCTCAGAGGCCTCACTTGTGCTTGTTCTTGCACTACTGCAACTGCTACTCCTGCTGCTAGTACTATTGCTCCGCGAAGACATTAATGAGTCCTTGCTGCTAACACTGCTCGTTCTGCTCATCGATCGCGTGTAATTAGTACTCTTAGTACTGTTGGCTGGTTGCAGTGGAAAGGCATGTGGTAAGAGCCGGCCATTGAAGAACAAATGATCAGCCGGGGAGTTTGGTGAGCCCGGTGTGACACAACCAAACTCGAACTCGGAATCCTGGCCCTGCATTGGCATGGCTGGGAATGAGAACTTGTCGCCGGAACTGTTCTTTAGCCTGCGATTTTCCATGGAATTCTGTGTTGTGGGCATGCTTAGATATTCATGAATGAGGATGACATTTATACAAGGACAAAGTTAGAGATAGTACCAATGTGTAGGGGTTGGCTTTCCCCAAAGAAGGGTCATGAAAATATTGATATGGACCCTTTTGTTGGGCTATCCTGATAAGCTTTGTGGTCTACATCATGTATTGTTTAAGTTGCCAACTCAACCTTAATTAATTAACATTGTGTTGTGATTATATTCATAGCGTGGGTTATTCCAATGAAATGTGTGTGTTGAATGATGTAGTGGCTTAAAGTTTATTAAACAAACTCTTATAGTTAAGTGAAAACTCAAATGTAACAGTACGATCACAACTGTCCATTATAACAATAAATAGGATGCAGTGGGTTTGGTAGAGATACCACTTAGGACGTTATGAATGATACTACCATAACCGTTAATTGTAACAACAAATATGATGTATATTGAATGGTAAAATATATTTCTTGTGGCTTAAAAGACATGACAACGTGAAATACTATTTAAGACATGTTGACGTGATCTTGCCATAACAGTCAATTATAGCAACAAATACGATGTATTGTGCTTGGTCGGAGATATTACTTATGAGTTACGAGTTATGACATGATCACGACTGTCAATTATGACAACAAATATAATGTAATGTAATTGCTCGAAGATATCACTTATGAGTTACGATATGATGACTTGATATTTTCATAACTGGATAAGGTATAGGGTGTGTCCGGTGCACTGGGCTCATCCGAGCTGTACATGCATAATAGTTATGGCTCGAGTTCAGTGCACGGGGCGCACCCAATATATATACATCACAACCGTCAATTATAACAGCAAATATAATGTGCGTAGTATTATGATTGGTTGGAAATATCACTTAAGACGATATTATGAATTTTCTTACATTTTGATTGAATTATGGTTATGTGTTTATCCAATTATAGAGACACGTGTAGGGTAGCCAGGATTTAATGATCTTGATGGAAGATGGAAGATGGAAGATGGAAGATGAAATTGTGGAGCAGGCTGTGAGTTTTTATTTGTGGTGCTGTAATTAAGATAGTCCCTTTAATTAAACGCATATACTTTCTCTGATCTTTGCTAATTTATGTATCATTCACTCAGGCAGACCACTTGCTTTTGTTGATTTTTCCCCGAATACGCAGCCTCCCAAAACACTTTAACATAAAGCAAAAGGAGGTTAGAGAGAGAGCAACACAAGTGAAAACAGACACATATATTAAATGGGCACTTTGGGGGGTCTCACAAGACCATGCAATGATGGGTTCAACATTTGCTTTCTTTTGGGTGTTGTGGAATGGAAGGCAAATAGTAAGAAGTGCTTTTAGATGAAAGAGACTTAATTTAATAGGTAACCAAACACTTTTGGTGTTTTGGTCACTCCTAATTTCCTGAATATAGGGACAAGCAGATCTTAGGAAATTCCTTGTCTCCCCTTTTAGGGTTTCTGGAGAGGAGGATCCAAGGGTCCATCTCATAAGGGCCTTTGGGACCATCAGTTTTAAGTCTCCTTAATTACTCCTTTCCATCCCTACCAAGCTTCCTTCCTTAAGTTGGAACTTTAATTATGGCTCTATGTTGTAGAACTCAACTCATAATTCAATTAAACAAACCTATTCATTCAACTCATCCAGAGTCGTGAAGTTTGACTCACAGGCATTTGGACTTCTATTTTTTAATGATACTATGGAACTTAAAAAAAAAAAAAAAGGGAAGAAGAAGATTGTGATGATATGATATTCCGGGTTTGAAGATAAAAAGCACGAGAGATTTTACATCTTATATATAAAAAATTGGAGTGCCTTTAATTTTGTTGGTGTGTCAATATATATGTATCATATTCATGCAAAGGGGAAACATGAAGGTCAATTTAAAAACAAAAAATTGCAAAATAGGAAATGGATTTGGGGGATTTGATACCAAATAACAGCTTTGTTGATGCAACCATAGTTGTACTTGTACAAGGCCCTATCTGATGCCGGTTTCTCTAGTTCTCAACCAGTATTTGGTTTTACATTTAAAGTGTGCTAAGGAAAGAAATGTGCATCTTCCATTAGATATTAATATTAATTTTAGGCGTATGGCACACAAGTCGTTGATGTATAGTGGTGAGTATTCCCGTCTGTCACCTGGGCAACCCGGGTTCGAACACCGGCAACGGCGTTTTTACTTTCCGTCCCTTTTTTCGTCTTATCAGCCATCAAACCGGCCATCTCATTGTCGTCATCATCGCCGCCGGATTCATTTTAAAAACCCATGAAGCAGCTTGTGTCATTATTGTATGATACATTTTAAGATATATATATATATATATATCAATTAATTTATTATAATCTTAAATTTAATAGTAGTATGACATTAACAACTAGCTAGGTTTTAATTACCTGATCATCAGATTGTTTGGAAAATGAGGTGTAGTAGGTGACTAGGTTTTGGGCAAATCCTTCGATGCATTGAAGATTGAAGATAGCCCCTGAAGCCATTGATATACATAGTGTGATATGTATAATGTGAAGCTAGCTAGCTCAACCATTGATACACACACACACACACACACACACACATTCTGTGATGTTTGTACATTCAGACACGTTTCTAGCATGCTGAGGATTAGCCTATTAGGGAGTGAGGATGATTCATGTCCTTCATTTGCTGCTCAACACATTTGGTGAGAAAATTTTAATGTAGTAATCACATGGCAAAACATTTTTATTTACGTGACATAATATAATTGTTTGATGATAAAGATAACAAAATATTAAAGGTGCAAAGAAGTCTATCCCATTGACGGACTTAAATTTTAGGCCCAACACTGGCTGGTATAGGATCAGTTATTTGATGGGTACCATTGTACCAGGCACGTGGCTCTATGCACAAATGAGATGTTTGGGCTGGCCCAACACTGGATTAAGTTCACTTGACTAGCCTATAAGAATGTGACAATTTTTAAGTTATTAGTGCACCACATTGTGAACATCACAAACACTTTTTAGTAGCATGTTTCTTCCTTTATAAATCAATTTTTTTTTTTTCTTTTTGTGCCAGGTAACACAACTGCATAATTAGACTTGAATCCTTAATTTATAATTTAAAAAGTTGAGATAATTGATGGTTAAATTATTCATTTCAATTGATTTATTATTAAATGAATTGTATTCTTTTTTAAAAGGTCGTTTTAAGTTTTGATTGTATGTCTTGCCAATCACATTAAAAAAGACTTGAATCTTTTTAAATTTTATTTTAAGAAGTTTAAATAACACTTGGTTAGTGGTTACATCATTCGATTCAATTCAATCACATCATTCGAATAACATTCTCTTTTAAAAAATTCGTATTAAGTTTTGAATGCACGTCACCAATAAAAAAAAAAAAAAAAAGAAAGATGAATAAGTGGATTTCACAGCAATACATTTTGTACCATAACTAGTGGCTTTCTCAGCCAATGTTAATGAAATCAAAGATGATCTCCTTTGTCTCAATTCATTAAAAAATATGAGCACTAAACAAGCATATTCGGATCACATTCTTCAACTCATTCTCTTTTACACGTTTAGTCGCTCGTGAACTCAAGCACTCATATCATAATAGCACAGTGTGATACTCTCTGCAAAAATAACAGTAGAAGTTAGAATCACATAACAAACAACGTGCCCAAGCAGACTTTCTCTCCTCACCCTATTCGAAGTTGAAAGCAGTATGAATGGTTTTCTAACACATTTCACAATGCTATATATATTTGCCATAAAACCGTGCTACAATTGTTGAGAGTTAACAAATTGACTAAGATACATGAGTCATATTTCTAAGTCGGTTATCGACTCTCGATAAGTTTAGAGTTTCCCTCTCATGATAATACCCGTGACAAATAAAAATAAATAACTAATTCCGACACGCATCCTTTTAATTATTGGTGGCAACACATTGTTAACCATCCCATTGCGAACACTTTAGCTAACATATTTCTCTCTCTATAAATATATAATCAGTTCAACCAGAGAAAGGAATCATATTATCGTTTGAAAAAGTCACTTCTAAGTTCTGAATGCATCTCTTCGTCCACATTTAGAAGACATAAGTGGATTTCACAACGGGACATTTTGTTCCACAACTAGTGGCTTTCTCAGCCAATGTTAATGAAGTCAAAATGATCCTCCTCTGTTTCAATTCTCTTCCATTACAGACCAAAAAATAATAATTAAAAAGATTACCACTAACAAGCATATTCGGATCACTTCCTCCTAAGTTCCCATTCAACTAAGGATGGTCATACTTATGACAATGACACAAACCCAATTTTTGATTTGTAAATGATCTTGTCTGAACAATTGAACTTAGCAAGATATAACTGGACTTTCTTATCTTATCAAGCAAATACAAACACAACTCAAAAAGTATTACAAACTTACAGTTCTCTCCCAGTTTTTGCCCAGCAACTCCACAAATTTCTTACCAGTCACCCACCCACATGAACATAACACAATAACAAGCACATCAAGTATCTAATGCATCGAGATACACTCAGTAAGAAAAATGTCGAGTTCTGCAACTCCTAAATCAAATTCCCAAAGTTTTGATAGAGGAATTATCAATTTCATTGCAAAAAAAAAGTACCTTCAATGAGGAATGGTGATAAGAAGTTCCAAGTTTCATCATTAACCATAAACGAAATTCAAATACTGGGAACATGGAATTGCAACCACAATTAATGTATCGAATCACTGTCCATAACAAAATGATTTGCAGTGATGTGCTATATAGAGGAAAAACAGAGAAATTAAGGATGCGTTTTAACATACTTTGAAGTGTAACACGTGCTATACCATGTATCGAGTAACTCGTTCTTTCTGCAACGGAGAATCCCAATTCAAATACAAAGGAAAAGAGAGGGGAAAAGTAACAGCTGATCACCTTATAAAAGATGTTAAAGCAGAGAGGAAGGATTTCAAATTCAATAGACATCAAAATACGCATATACGAGGAGAAAAATGTATACAATTTATAGGTTCTACTATGCTTGTATTTTTTTCCAGTAAAACTACTGTTCTTATTTCAAGTAAAAGAAAAAGGCAGGGTGGCTTTAAGTATACAAAATTCAGGCTAGTCAGCATCCAATAGCAAGGAAACAGTCACTTGATCAAAACTCTTCCTGGCTAGAAGAGACTGCAGTCTATGAGAGAACAGTAACCAAATTCATTGTTTAGTACCCTCGTTTCCAACCGCATCAAGCCATGAAACAACTTGAACTATAGAGGGTCTCCGTCTTGGATCCTGGTCTATACATTTACAAGCTATAGCAAGCACCTCCAAGTGTTGTTTCTCATAATCCTTATCCAATATCGATGAATCAAATATTTCCTCCTCCCTCTTCTCAGATTTCATCTGAAACACCCATGACACCAAGTCCCTGCAATTTCTTCCTTTGCAAACTTCCACAGGCCGCCTACCGGTAAGAAGCTCAAGAAGAACAACACCAAAGCTATAAACATCACCCTTAAAAGTTGCTGCCAATGCCTGACTGTATTCAGGAGGAATATACCCCAAGGTCCCGACCAAATCTGTCGTTACATGGGTGTCATAAGGACAAAGTAACCTTGAGAGGCCAAAGTCAGCTAAATGAGCTTCGAATCTCTCATCTAAAAGAATGTTGCTAGTTTTAACGTCTCGATGGATTATATTTGACTCTTTATGCAAGTAAGCTAATCCACGACCAGCTCCTTGAGCTATCTTCAGCCTCGTCTCCCACCTAAGAAGTGAACTCCCATCAACCCTTTCATGCAGCCAATAATCCAAGCTTCCATTCTCCATATAGGAGTAAATTAGTAACCTGTCACTCCCATGCTGGCAGTACCCTTGAAGAGAGACAAGGTTCTTGTGCTGAGCTCTTGACAGGGCTTCAACTTCAGCTTGAAATTCACGTTCCATCTGTCCACAATCTCCAGAGAGCCTCTTGATTGCAGCTTTTATGCCATTAGGAAGGTCGGCTTTGAACACAAGGCCAAACCCCCCACAGCCAATTATGTTTGCTGGGTTAAAATTGTTTGTAGACTTTAACAAGTCTGCAACCGTGAGATCCTTGCAGTCCGAGTTTGGAAAAAGAATCAACTTTGAAGATCCAACCGCATCTGACAACCTGCGTGGCCTACTGATTTCCTCATCAAAATCTTCGATTGGATATCCTACATCCCTCTTTGACATTTTAAGCAGAACAATGGCCAGGAGCAATGCAATCCCAACCCCAATGCTGATTGTTATTCCAAAGATGCTGCCGCGGCCAAATTTACGATTTGAACCAGATGGGATACCTGGTTGGGGCCCCATATTGGATTCAACGCCACAAGAAGAAACTACTCCGCCGCAAAGTCCAGGGTTTCCCTCAAAGCTTGAGTTGGGAAAGCTTGAGAACTGATTCCCGGTTGGAATCGCTCCCTTCAAGTGATTATTTGCCACACTAAACTTTGACAGGAAAGTGAGCTTACTGAATGATGCAGGGATCGACCCATAAAGATTATTGGATGATAAATCCAAAACTTCCAAGTTCCCCATATCAGAAATGGAGCTAGGAATGGTCCCAGTTATGTTGTTCCTGCTCAAATCTAAGACATGGAGCTGCTTCAACTGCCCAATGTCAGGCCAGATTGTTCCATTTAAACTGTTATTGCTCAACAATATTGATGGAGGGAAACTTGAAGCCTGATTATACTGCAGACCACTAGCACTCTGATTTCGCTTAACATACAATGGAATGCCAGTGGAGATGGCAAGATTGGGGGAACTGCTATTTGTAGAAATGAGGCTCTTTAACTCTGTCAAACTCTTTGGGATTTCTCCCACAAGCGAGTTATTTGAGAAGTCCAAGTAAAACAAACTCTCCATCTGACCAATCCAAGGAGGGATACTGCCATTCAAATGATTCCAAGACAAGTCAAGGACTTCTAATTTCCTGCAATTCGATAACCAAACTGGGATTTGGCCATTAAGGGCACAATTCCCTAATGCAAAAATCATCAAGCGCTCAAACCCACTCACATTTTCCGGGATTTCTTCTCCATGGAAGTTCTTTGTGAGGATGAGAGTAGTGAGATTTCTGCATTGCTGCAGAACAGATAGTGCCACAGACAGATTCGTAAAACTGTTATTTGACAATGAGAGAAACAAAAGGGATGTGAGGTTCACATAGCTCTCTGGAATCTGGCCACTCAACTCATTCTTGGCAAGACTCAATATTTTCAGTTCTTGGCAACGGGACAGTGATTCCGGCAAGACACCAGAAAAATTATTAGTGGCGAGATCAAGCATCCAGAGATGAGGCAATCCGGTGAAATCAATATTACTGATAGGACCGGATAGAGAATTGTTCCGGAGATCAAGCACCCGTAGGTTTGAGCAGAGTGTCAGGGTGGAGGGCAATAGCTCGGAGAACGAATTTGAATGTGCAATAAACTGTTCTAAGTGTGTGAGTGCGCCAAATACATCTGGAAGTGGACCTGAAAATCGGTTTCCATATAAAACAAAGGTTTTAAGGGTGGAAAGCTTACTGAGTTTCTTGCTTAGCTGGCCAGAGAAATTGTTGGCAGAGACTGAAAGCTGCTCCAAAGAAGACATTGAATACAAGAAGTCAGGAAGGTTGCCTGAAAATGAATTGATATCCACGTGCAACCGCTGCAGAGAGGTGCTGCAATTGGCCAAACTTTCAAGCCCACCAGTGAAATGGTTCATTGATAGATCAAGAATCTGAATCTTCTTGGAGGAATTGCACATTCGAGAACTGAATTCGCCGGCAAATGAATTGTTGCTTACATTGAATACAACAACATTCGGAAACCCCCCAAGATCAAGCAAGTGCCCATTGAATGAATTGCTTGAAATATCAAATGATTGGATGGATTTCAATCCACCAAGAGCTCCCAACACCGGTCCCGCTAACATGTTATGACTCAAATCAAGAACTTCCAACTGCTTCAAATTCGAAATAACCATGGGCAATGCACCTTCCAAATGATTACATGAAAGATTAAGCAGTTTCAACTGAGGTAAGCTGCCCAAAGAATTCGAAATCACCCCTCTTAAACCTTTGCCGGACAAATTCAACATTGTCACTATACCTGCAGCTGACCCATTACCGCCATGCTCACAAGCAACACCATCCCAGTTACAGCAAACAGAATCTTCGGACCATGCTTTGATAATAGACCCACTGGTGAGGTTTCCTCTAAATTCCTTCAGTGCCTGCAAATCATTCCGATCACAGGGTTGGCTTAGGGTTTGAAGACCCAAACATGAGCAAACAAAACAAGCCAAGAATGCCCATTTGAGGAAAGTCATTGGAATAAACCCCAAGGATACCATTCCTGAAATCAAAGAAATACCGAGTTCAAACCAAGACCAACACCACCATAAACTCAGTTCAATTTGAGATGATTGAACTTCCACTGCTTTTCAAAAATGAGTAGGAAACCAAAACTGCTTTTCAAAAATGAGTAGGAAACCAAAATGGCAAACACCTCAGAAACCACAAAACACCCCAAGTAACAAAACGCTTGAAAGTAAAGCAACAATCACCAACACACAACCATTGAGATCTTCAACACCCACTTGAAATCAAATCTATAGAAAAAGTCAGCTGCTTCTTATAGAGACAGAAAACCCAAATGAAGAAACCTCAGCCCACATCCCAAAACACCTCGCAAATCCACAAACGGAAACCCAAATAATATCAACTTGTAATTGAAGCAATCAGCACTAAAACCCAAATTCACACTTGTGTGGGGGTAAAACAAGCGCCTCTCATAGAAAGTGAAAATAAACCCTAAATGAAGAAATTTCAAACCCACCAGCAAAACACCTCCAAAAACAAAAAATGTAAATACCCCATTGACAACTTGCAAATGAAGCAATCACCACCAGTAAGCCCCAATTAAACACTCAATCAAAGGACATCAAATCCCTAGATCGTATACAATACACTCTGAAACGAAGAAAGAAACTTCTTCAGTACTTCAACACCTTTGAACCAAAAAAGCTCACAATGAAAACCCTAGAAGAGACTGTCTATCAAAAACCCATCACTTGAAAGTGAAGCAAGAAAGGACTCCCTGTGAAACCAAAATCAATTTAATACAATTTTTTTTCTGAAAATGGGTCTTCCCATTTTAAAACTAGATGCCTAGCTTTAAATTTTCAAACACAAAAGAAGAGGCTAGGTCTAAGCACACTTAAGAAAAGGACCGTAATTGCGACTTTAGTAATGCAAAAAAATCAAATTTTTTCCTTTTTAATGGACAAAACAGTGAAACACAGTGTGGGGGTAATTTGAAATGGTGACACAAGAGCTGACTTTGGTTCTTCACAGTTTTCACAGATCTGAAGTCTGACTGATTGTCAATACCCACATTTGTCTCTTTCTTTCTCTCTCTAGAAAAATATTTAGTGAGGGAGATTTTTTTTCATAGTGCAGATCACGAGTCAGATTATCATAACCCACATTTGTCTTCTTACCTTTTTCTCACTAATCTCCCTCTAGAATATATTTAGTGGGATTAGTCCATTTGATGACGCGGGACATGTTTGGTGCGCTTTAACGACGACTATAGAATTATCACTCCCAAGTTTATGTAATGCGCGTTAAATACACGCTTCATCTTTTAAAAATAGAATCACGACTTCAATATCTTAAATGATAAAAATTATAATTTTGTTTATTTTAAATTAACCAGGTCAGAGCTTAAAGTTAAATGAGATAAAATTTATATTAATTTTTTATTAACCCCTAAAAATGTTCTAATACATACATGTAGCCATTGTATCTATACAATTTTTATTTTTATTTTGTACCATACGGCACTTACTATGATACATATACTAAAATTATATATTTTTACATGTATATATGAAAAAAAATTACATAATTCTCTCTTAAAATTTTTATTTTTTAAAATTATTTTTAAAATATTGTATTTCTTTTCTTTGTTACTTTTTAAATTTGTTTAATTTCCTTAATAAAAAAATTAAAATTTCCTTTTTGAATCAAATTCTAATTTTTTTTCCTTTCAAAATTCTCTCATTCTCTTTTTTAAATTTTGTTAACTATTTATCTTTCTTAAACGTAATTTCTGGCTCCGTCCATGCTAGTTGTGTTCAAATAAAAATAAAATATTAACTAGTTATGTCCTGTCATAATTAGGATATAGTTTGCTTTTCTTCAAAAAGAAATATGATAAAATACCAATACAGATATGATTGACATAATTTTCTTTCTTCAAAAAAAATTCAACCGCGTATATACTATTTTTCTTCTTGTATACCTAATATATTCATTCTAGTAATATAAAAGATTATATACATTCCATATATTTATATATATAATATTATAACTAATAAGAAAGTATGGAACTTTGTAGAGAGATTGAGAATTCTGAAGAAGATTGAAGAGTTGGTAGGAATTGATAGGAGAAGATATTCAAGTTGATTTAAATTATAAATATCACAAAAATATATTACGTAATGAACATGGTTATGAAATTAGAACACTACTCATCAGATGGTTTTCTTACCAGGTGAATGAATCGCCTCCTTCTCAAAGTCTTCTCTTCTTCTTTAATTCTCCCATTCTCTTTGCCTATAATGACGAGAGTAGTATAAAACTCTATTTACAATTACTCTTTACTTAAATACTGTAATACTTTTCTTTTTTTTACATTCTAATACTTTCCTTTTTTTGATTGCCTTGTTTTGTTATTAAAAAAAAAAAGGTATACACAAAGTATGAATATTTACGAATATTTATTTTTGGTGAAAGTAACTTCTAATATTTCACCCACATATGAATTTGTCATTCTGGATTTGAACATAGTTAATTATATATATACACACACATATATATATATTCCTGTATCACCAAATATGATAAAATCTGATAGTAATATAAAATAATATAATTGGAGGATTTTTTTGTAATTTAAAGTAAAAGAAGAAAATTGCACGAGCGCGTGACATAATTAGAAATGTGGGGGAAAAGAAAGAGGTGAGAATTTGATGAGCGGTGGAGTGATGAGATTTGACCTCATTTGGACGGTTTTGATGCTGCGGCGCGGTAGGCGCACGTCACGGGGTACGGCAGGTGATCTCTAATTTCCATCCCCAGGGTTGTCGGGTCAACCACTTTAGCCTACTTTCATGTGAACCCACCAAATCCCACTCTCGAGTCTTTGTCACTCTCAATCCCAATCACTCCTCAATTCACTTTTCTCATTTGATAATATCTCCCAATTTCTTCTTAATTCCTAACCTTCTTTTCATCATTATTCTACAAAAATATATATTTATATTTATATATACACTATAATAAAATATATATAACAGGAATTAGAATCTCAAATTTCATTATTAGAGCGGTGAAATTCAAAGTACAAAAATTCATTTTAAACTTGGATTAGAACATCTCCGAGGCCTTCTCAAATAGTTTTTCAAACTCAAAATATATCAAGTGGATAAAAATAAGGCACTCTAATGGCCTCTCAAAAGACCTCTCATATTTTGAGATTGTCAAAAATATTGTTATATATAACAACTCTCAAACTCAAAATATAACAAGTGGATGAAAATAAGACATTCTAATAGATTGATATTATCAAAAGTTGTCAACAACAACTCCAATGGACTGATATTTGGGTTGTTATTTTCAAAATATAGCATGTGGGTTTAAAATTGGCTCTCCTCCAATGGCATGCCTAATGGGTTGCCAAAATATGACATTGCCAAATATTGTGCTATATTTGGCACAACACATAGCTATTGCAAAATCTGCTATTGCTCTCTCCTTCTCTTTTTTCTATCGCATGGGCTGCTAATTTGGTGTTATACTTTTGTATATATATATGCCAGTTGTGCTTATATATATGTATATGTCAGTGTTGTATGTATATATATGTCACTGTTGTGTGTATATATATGTATATGTTAGTGTTGTGTGTAGATATATGTATATATATATGTCTGTCGTGGTGTTTTTATTTATTTATTTTTAATAAGGCAAATAAGCTAAATAAAATACAAACACTCACAAAAAAATAATAAATAAATAAATAAATGGTTGTTGAAAATTGTAGTTGGGAATGATAGTTGAAAAATAATAGTTGTTGTGTCAAAAAATAATATGTTGGATGAAATGTAACATTAGAGCAGAATTGCTAAAATATACTCCATCTGTCCAAAAAAAAATGTTATGTTTGTGAGTCACGATTATCCAAACAAGACATCTAATTTGGGACGGAAGTAGTAGTATTTTGACATTGTAACTACTCTCAAAATATAGATTTGTCATGCAAAAATAGTATTTTGCATTGGAGATGGTCTAAAATGAAAATAAGGCACTCTAACAGGCTCTCAAAACATGTAATGGTTGTTTTGTAAAAAAATAACATTTTAGATGAAATGCACTATTAGATCATAATTGTAAAAATATAGCATTTTGGCAGTATAACTCCTTTCAAATATAGATTTAGCATGTAAATGTAGCATTTTGTATTGGAGATGATCTTAGAAAAGTAACTTCAGTGCGTCTATCATTGCATTTAAGGTCATATTTTAAACTATATGTAATTAGAGTTAATTTTATAGTAAGTATATTTTAGGCAAAATAAAATTTTGGATTTCTTGAGTAGGTTAGTTGAACAAAAAGTAGAAGTGAGATTAGATTCATGTAATCTAACATGAATATAATTAAATATAGTCCTTTAAAAAAAAAAAAAAAAACACATGAAAGCACATATAACTTATGATGTGTAGAAATATTTATATTATAAAATTTACAAAAAATAGAAAAGCCTATTTAGCTTTTATGCGACATTTATCAAACATATTTTGATGTGAAAAATAAACATGTAACCCATTTTTGTGTTCTTAAATAAGAAATTAAAACAGAAAGAAATATAACTTACTCTTACTTCTTGTGAAATTTGGAATAATGACCGTGAAATGAAAAATTTAAAAATATCATTGCAACTCGATTAGGGTTTTTAAAAGTAACGGCTCAAAACGTTTGTCGTGATTTATCAAATCAATATAATGTGGTGACCTTGTGGGCAGATATGTGTAAACGTGTGCAAGTGACATTAGTAAGTTATTATACTGGGTAAGTTATATGTGCACAATCAATTCCATATCGCCTAGGTATGAAAAGAGAAAGTACTATTATACTGTGTTCGACTGAGATAGGAGATGTTACACATGATAATCTTCCCTAAAATACTATGGGGTGATCCCTCTTGATTCAATATTCCTCAATCCATTCAGAATTCGCTACAAGGTGGGTCCACTAATTATGTCAAATTAACAACTCCATTGACAATAATAAAAATTATTTTGTGAGTCACAATTTTGGGCGGGAGGAAGTAAAAAGTAAATGTGTTTCGGTGATGGTTGATATATATCCATCATATGCTACTTTGGCCAGCCACTAAGTTTTTTCTTGTTTTTATGATATGAACTCAAATTGTTTTAAACTTTCTTGGCAAGCTTCATTCCAATCAATTGAGTTTTCCCATGGGTTGATGGCCCATGATGAACCACACGAATGATTTTGCCTTTTAGAATGTTGACATTGTTTAGTGCTAACCTTTAGGTAAACAAAAGATGTCCACCACTTCTTGTTTATGATCATCCTGATCATGGCTTCATAAAGTTTGTGCCACCCAATTTATTATATCTGTCTTAACAGGTGTGTGTGTGTATATTTTATACTTATATCAGGATTCATAAATGCAATTTGTGTGCGCCAATCTAAGTCCAACCCCCTTTTCATGATCTTGGATTAATATTTCTATATATAAAAAAAAAAAATTTAATATTTCTTAATTAGGATTGGACCCGGACTAAAAAAAACTCAATTCAAATTTAATTTGGGTTGAAATATTTGTAAACCAACTAATTGTAACATGCGGTGTTTAAGGATGGCAAAATATCCCACTCATCGGGTACTCGCCTTATCCTGACTCGTTTAGAACAGTTATGACAGTTGTTAAATGATTTTGGGTCGTTTAAAACAGTTATGACAGTTGTTAAATGATTTTGGGACGGGAATGATGGTTAAAATTGAAAACCAACATGGTTATGGTGGGGAGATGAAAAAGATCATCCCACCCTGTCTCATGTATATTGATAAATGAATTACAATTCTATCCTTATATTTTATTTTATATTCAATAATATTATGTATATATTAAACAAATCCTAATTTATTCTATTCCAATCATTAAATATTATTTTGTATTATTCTTATTTGAGAACTTTTATGTATTATTTTGATATTCTAACAATAATTTTATTCTTAAGTTTCAATTGATCGATAAGTTGAATCTTGTTTTTATCAGCATAATAGAAAAAAATTATTATCATT